GGGGGGGGGGGGGGAACAGCAATATGAAGCACCTGGTATCTCCAGGTGGGGGAATACTAAAGGCACTTTACATTTTTCAGCCCCAGGAACCAATGTACATGAGCCATAACGGAATAAAACATAGGGAAATGTGTGTATTGCAGTCACTTCACATGTTTTATTTTGCCTTCACATTCACTTTACACACAACGCCAGAGCTTGGCCCTATCCCTGGAATTTAGTCGTCCTTGACAGAGCTTCCTATGCACAGTGCCTGCCTCCTCACACTTTCTAATTCCCGCTCTCATCTCTCAGCCTGGGCACGCCGACGAGCCGTGAGCGCGCACGTCTAGGTTACCCGGGAGACCGGGACGCGCAGCCTGGTGATGGCGGAGGAGTGGAACCAGGACAGCGGGGAGGCGGTATACAGATCCCGGGATCCGGTGAACAACCTGAAGATCAGGTAACAGACACGTCAAGTCTGCTGGAGAGGGTTTATAGTTCAGCACTCCGACTTACATGTATGTATCCGCAGGGTGCTCCTTGAGCGGGTGTCACCGGTCAGTGCTCTGATCCAGCGGGTGCAGGAGGAAGAGGAGGAGGGAGGCAAAGGAGACATTGCATTGCGGACACTGAGCTCCACCGTCGGCACTGGTAATCTCTTCTATTTCATCTGTACTCATCAGCTCAATATATACCCCCTTTGCATGTGTATATTGGAGAATGAGCTGATTTTGTTGTTGTTACAGGGACGCCAGTTCTCACTTCTGTAGATGGTGACAGTCTGATTTAATAAACAGTGAAGTCAGATGAACTGTAGTGATCCTGGTGAAGAGTAAAATATACACTTCTCAATAGATTGAGCCGGGTGTGTGACAATGAAGCTGTCACATGCTGGAGAACTGAGCGATCACATACCACTGATGACTCAGCTCAGGTCTTCTCCCTGCAGAAATCAATGACTGTCAGTCATCGCTCCTTGCAGGGCTTCCCCCCTCCCCTTTTTCTGTTCCTCCAGCACTCACTAGAGGGACAGAGAGGAGAGGGGTGGACACAGCTGGCTCTGGCTCTAGAGAGGCAGAGCCAGCTGTCAGTCAGAAGTGTGGATGCCTACAATCTTGTCAGGATCTTTCCTGGCTGCAGAGCGGCTCTGTGCTGTCAGCATATAGTGGGCTGTTTGGGGTCACAGGAGTAAATTAGTAAATGTCCTCCTGTGACCCAAAAGAGAACTAACACAATAAAGGTTTAGCTATAGTTCTCTTTTAATGCTGGCCCTTCAAATGGGAAAAATTCTATTAAAAAAAATAATAATTCTTAAAGCAAAAACAAAAAATTCTGTGACAAAAGCGAATGTACAAGTGTAATCGCTCTTCTGCATTTATCCATACAGAACAGAGTGAATGGGGAAAATACTGCAATATGCCCACTAGATGAAGCTGAGGATCAAAGGAAATAAATACATGTTTGTAATGAGATTCAGTATTACAACTCTAGAGAGCACTGGAGAAGATGTGCATATAAATGCAATAATTGATATTACAGTGATGGCAGATGTTGAATGTATTTGCTCATTCTCTGCGCTGTTCTTTTTAATGGCCCATTCACACCTCCAGTGCATTCAACACAGAGTTCCATGGTGTGAATGCACTGGATCTCATAAGCCAAGCCTCCCTGCATTCTGGGGTGGGACGGGTGTGGTGGTGCTTTTTATTGCAATGGCACCGCAGACATGCTATTGCCTGCACCGGAACGTGCAGTACGGCAAAATCGTCCATGATCGCAGCACACTGGAAAGCAGAGCATTATGGTACCACGCATTCCGGTGCGGGTGATCACAGTGCTGGCGGGAGGTGTGTTTGCGGTGCCATTGAAATGAATGGCACCACCATGCCCCCTGCCACCCCACGAGGCGGGATAGCATTGTTTATGCGATCCAGTGCGTTCATCCCACGGGACTGTGCCATGGACTCACTGGATAGTGTGAATTAGAAACCCTAATTTTTAGGGATGCACATATATATCGGCCGAAAATTGCACTTTTGGCATAATGCCGGAAGTGCCATTTTCCTGTTGATACATCGGCACATCCCTGCTTTCTTTCCTCCCCGCTGGGCGCTGCTCTGTGTCCCAGCGTGGAGGAGAGAAACTGTGACAGCCGGCCGAGCGCTGTGGAAGTAGAGCGCTGTGAGCGGCCGGCGCCTCCTGCCACAGTCCGGCAGATCGCTGTGTGGGCGGAGACAGGCCGCGCTGTCACAGGAGGCTGAGCTCTCCTCCATACACTACTCGATCAGCCTCCTGTGACAGCGTGTCAGAGAGGAGAGCAAGGTACGAACACTCAGTGATCAGTGATCGCTGAGTGTTTGTACATAATTGAGGATATGGTATGTGTACTATATCCTCAATTATGAATGAATGGGAAGTGATCTACATCACCTCCTGTTCATTCATGATTGTGGTTATAGTAAACATACTATATCCTTATGTTATCAATGAACAGGAACACTCAGTACAGAGGATTCCTGTTCGTTGATAACAGGGCATACAGAAAAAGAGATTGAGGACTTCTATTTTAAAAGGGAAATATCAGGGGTCTGTTTAGGCCCCCAATATTTCCCCTAAAAGTAAAGTTCAAAGTAAAAATATTTAATATAAAATGAATTAATAAATAAAAAGTTTATAAAAAAAAATATTTAACAAATTTGAAAACATTTAAAAAAAATTAAAATTAAAAAAACATTTTCGGTTTCAGCCTGACAATTTTTTTTTGTTTCGGTTTTAAAATTTCCATTTCGGTGCACCTCTACTAATTTGTTTCTTCCTGCTTACTAACATGTACAGTATAGTTTTCCTATGATCCTCCGCTTGATCTAGTGGCCATAATGTGGCCATTCCCTCATTTACTCTGTTCTTTATGAATGAACCTATTGAAGAACATTCATCCAGAAAAGTAAACACACAGCAGCTGGTTAACAAATGTACTCACATTTTTTCTGGAGGAATAAGCAAAGCAAACATTTTAAAAATAGGCCTCTAACTGTCAGTAGGGTCCCAATGTCTAGAACTGTCATTCACATGTGGAAGAATGAATAGAACATTTAGAGCCACCTATTGTCTTTAATATACTATTCCATAGCGGAAAGGACAAGCATTGTCACACGGCACCCCCTACTAACTTCCAAAGATCTCATCATATATCTAACATCACAAAACTATGTAAAGCTTCTCCGATATGGGACAACTCCAGGTTTGTTCTTCTTTCCTACTGAGCGCTGTGAAACGGATATGCAAATTTTGACTTAATGGTTGAGAGCTTGTGGCCGTCATGTCTACCTACTGCACTTCACTATTGGTGCATCACAGGTCCATGGTAAGATCTGGCAGGGGATGCCATAGTACCGGTAACTGGTTGGAATTTGCATGCCACAGAGCTGCAGGTTTCATGACTCACAACATGTGCAGGCACATGGAAGAGCCTGCTATGGCATAACAGTTCAGCTTTGATAACTAGCTTTCATATTACAGGTATGTCATGATTTTCTACCTTTTATTATATGTATATAATTTTGATGCATAAGACTGTGTGTTTCAATTTTCAAAGGTGGACATCAACGTGGCGATGAAGAAGAAATTTTGATTTCCTGGCAAGAGAAACTTTTTAGTGAGGTAATATTTCTTTAGATTCCATTAAAGAAAAAAAAAAACCTGTCAGTTGATGTGTTAAAAAATTGGTTTCAGTTGGCAGCCTAACTTACAATCTGACAGGCAGTAAGGGCCCATTTACACCACTTGCTGTGCAGGAACATACAGTAAACATGCACATTAACACACGTTACATGCATTGGTGCACTTTGGCATTTATTGTGCAATCCAGTGCACCTGCGCAATGCCTGTTGTCCTCTGCGCTGCACAAAAAATGCAGCCTGCACCATTTTTTTGTGTGTGACAAGGCAGGGAGGGCTTGCCAGACCATTGCAGTGAGCCCGCTGTTCTTTAGACATCTGCAGACTTTTCTGCTGGGGCTGGGTGTTCTTTACCAAAGAAGTCAATGATAAGGGCCCGTCCACACATTCTGACGCTTTTTGTTAATGCAGGCATTAACACATTATGTCTCACATTAACATGCAATTAATTAAGGCAGCCGGCCATTGTAACAGACTGCACCAAAAACAGACATGCACTATTATTTCCAGGGCAGTGCATCACAATTGCTAGAGTGTTGCGGTACTTTGTGATGCATTGCTCTTGTGCATTGGGTTGCAATTGAAAATGAATGGCGTTGCAACGTCCCGATGCGTGTATAGTCTGTTATGGTGTTGCATGCTGCAACTGACAGGTGTCAGTGGGCTTTGGGACACTGAACTATTACTATTTTGCTGCACTCTTATTTTATTGCTATAATTTGAATTAAGGCTTTAATTGACAGTCTGATTGGATTGATATGCTCGTTGACCTAATTGCAATATACCTTTAGGGCAGGTTCACACAAATTTTCTGGACCAGAAAATGGTGTGAACCTGCCCGCAGTTCCAGTGCATTCCAGCCCAGACAAAATGAGACATGCAGTATTTTTCTGGTCTGGTCTGGAACGGACTGCGCTGGAGTGAACAGAGGCCAGAAATGGCATAGGGATACATTAGGATGCATTTTGGGTCTGGAGATGATCTGGATGTGGTGTGAATGGGCCCTTACTATCTGGGGAGGGGACATCCTTTATTGAAATAGTGTTTCAATTTTGTGGAGAGCCATGCTCTTCATTAACCTGTACATCTAAAACATAACTTTTATTATATTATAGAAAGTTTTTACAATTCTCCCAATGCACTATTTGTATATCCTTTTGGAAACAGTTCCCATACTTATCTGTCTCCTATGAGAGGGAACTGTCCTAACCAGCATAAATCTTCAGTATATTTTATTGAAAATAGGATTGCCATGATTATAATGCATATGTGATTCCCTCTAAATGGTAGATCCAGTATAACAGCTACCTGCTTGTTTAAGGTGCCCCGATGCTGGCGACGTACACTGTACGTCGTCAGTCACGAAGGGGTTAATATAGCACAATGGATCTGTTATATTTTGATTGGCTGCACAATGAAATAAGAATTCAAACAAATTGAAGAGCAGTTACAGAACGCATCAAAACTGCATCCATTGTACTCCAAAGGTATTTTGGGCTCTAGTTCACACCAGAGCGTTCAGTTCCAGAGCATGTGAAAAAACTGCAGCATGTCCTATTTTTTTCTGCTCTGGAACGCACCAGAACGCATGCAAAAGCATAAAAAACGCCCTGGAAAGCACCTGAAAGCCCATTTTAGGCTAAAGAAAATCATGCAGAAACTCATGCAGATCTGGTCTGCATTTGGTGTGAACAAGCCCTTAGAGTGGACAGATATTTAATGTATAATGTGTATGTATTTCCAGTTTGAATATGAGCTCTATAAAAATGAGGCTGCTTGCCGTACTCCTCTGGATCGTCAGTACCACCAGGACATACTGTCTATGGAACGCGGTGGCGGGCGAAAGAACAGACGTATCTTTACCTATACAGATTATGATCGATACACCAACCTAGAAGAGGTACCTTCAATACAAATCATTTGACTAATTCTGCACCATAACCATCATGGGACATCACACTAAAGGAACATTCCCTGGGTTTCATCTTCTGGCTCCCCATAACAGTCAGCCAAATTATCATGATCAGATTATGTGCACAAGGCCCACTGTTATTTTGAGTAAATAGGATGTAGATAACCAAGGCTTCGGGTCAGTCAGTGCAAAATACCTGGTGCTTCTGGGTGTCGGGGAGCATGAGACCAGGAGCAAGATACCTCCACCCATATGGCAGTGCTTAGGTCTAGTAGCCAATAACTAGGTCAGCACTTGGTGTAGGCGGTGAGTACACTGCTGCCTTTAGGCTCCAACACCAGCCAACATTGGGTATTTTTGTGGCAGGGGAAGGAATGCCAGGGGATTGCTATAGAGATAAGTATTTGTGTTGGGGGAAGGGGTCCTTTTCGTTGACATTGACATTTTTCCCTTATAGGCAAAGTAATAGTGTCTTTTTCAAGGCAGAGTCCCATTCCTGGCACCATAATCTAGGTCAGATGCAAAAGGCGTGCAAAAAAGCTTCAAGTTATGAAAATATATTTAAAAGAATTTGATCTCCAGAACGTCTTGATCTCAAATTGCCTAGGCTGTGCAGTTTCATTCAGGGTGATTGCGTTCATCATCCAGCTCGCTTCCCCTTATCTGTCCAGCCAATCCTAAGCCCATCAATTTCCCAATATACAGCTTGACAGCCTTGGCAATTAGTGAACAGGAAGTGGATCCAATTGTATTAAGGTCCACCCAGTCTCCCTACCTTCTGAGAACTGGAGTGGATCCTCAGCCTGGGGTCCAGTGTGAGCTGCTGTGCAGTGACAGAGCTCCATCCATATGTGCATTGCTTGTACAGCTCCCTTGCGGGCCCTGTAGAGGTGCCGGGAGCCAGAATGTGATGTCACCATGGCACCTCTATAGGACACGTGAGGGAGCTGTAAGCAATGCAAGTATGGATGGAGCTCCCTCACGGCCATAGCCCCATCCCATCTCAAGCTGACACTCATAGCTGGGCAGCATATTTTGAATCGAAGCATGGCGCGAGAACTGACAGTGCATGCACTGATGGGAGGCAGGGGAACCTCTCACCTAGAAAAGTGGAAGGCATGCGGCGACCCACTGAACATGGGGTCGCGACCCACCAGTTGAGAACCAAGGCTTTAAAGCATACCTGTTAAGAGAGAAATCTAGAGGTTGTCATTGATGACCTCCTTCTGAAATTGTTACCGGGTTGTCTCCTGCTTTATTGCCGCTTCATCCCATAACTGGGACAATTATGCAGCAAGTGAAAGTCAGGGAAAGGTCAGTATTCTGCATTTGTTCCAGGTCTGTTATTCAGAAAGCACCAAAACCAAAGAATACACATGCCAGCCAGACAAATTGCATTTTTTAAAGAAGAGTTCAGTAATGGCAGCCTACATAATTGTCAGACCTCGAGCTGACTGGCTCCTGCACAGCCTCTGGTGATAACAGCTTCTTCTACTACCCACCTCTAACTCGAATCACTTTTACGGCCTTAATTGCAGAGGTTGAACCATGTTAGGGGTGGCAGTACAAGAAGTGGAGACAATATGTGGTTGTGAGCCATGAATTTCAATAAAAGGTTTACTGGTGGAGTGGTGTGTGGTCCATTGTTTGGAGTTAGGGGAGCTTGTCTAAGATTTCAGTTCAGCGCATTGGAAGTAACAAAGACACATAATTTATAATAGGATCAGCAGGTAGTTTTCTGTACTTTCATATAATGTTCTTGGCCGGAAGAAAGAAAACCGATGCAGCCATCCCATCCAAGTACTGGGATGCTGTAAGTTATTACATATCTGCTTTTGAATTTAGATCCACATTTACCACAATTTCTTGTCTTGATCCCTTTAATATGCCATTTTCTTTTTACAGCATGCTCAGTCAGTAACCACCTCTGAAAAAGAGACCCCCACATTCTTAGCGGAACGAATGGCCAATGTGCGGAGACGTCGGCAAGACAAAAGACAATTGTGAGTATTTAGCACTGCAGTACAATATACTTCAGATCCAGGATAATAATTGGAATGAACTGTTTGTCTTGGAATAATACCTGTAACTAAACACTGTCTCTTTAACTTCCAGGGATGGAGCGGGCATACGTAATCGTCTTGTTGTATTGGATCCTTCAGAAGAGTTTACCAAAACTAACCACATAATAAACACTCCAGTACAGACTATGTACATCATGGCAGATCTTGGCCCCAGGGGAAAGTGAGATTTTTCTTATTGTCAGATGTCTAAAAACAATGGAAGTTTGCTCTTAAAATCTGTAGAAATATAAAGCGTGTTGCCTTTAGCAAGCAGTAATGCTGCAAATTAGGAAAGTGAAAGCAACACTGTTTTTTTGCCTTTTGGGTTTTTCTAAATGATCACAGCTGCATTTAAAAGACTGTTCTTTTACCTTTCAGTGTTTTAATGTGCACAGTTTTATGTATTATAACGCCAGATTGCAACTCCCAGTTCGCTGTTGGAGAATTCTCTCCATAGATCTCTATAGGTTGAACTCGATGGACTTGTGTCTTTTTTTCAACCTGACTAACTATGTAGATGAATTTAGCTCAAAGGTGTAAGCGTCACCTTTCGGATCTGACCCCCTCTACATGGATTGCCCTTATCCCAATATCCAATACCCAGCACACTTAATGCCCTCATCCGACTTTCGACCATCCAGCATGAATATTCATTTCTACAGTCCGTAAGACTAGGTTTACTTCTCTGTCCCTACACTTTTAGCACTCCACTGCACAGCTCTGACTTGCACTTAGCTTTCTCCCCAGCGCACTTTGCAGTTCCCCTACATATGTCAGATTCTACTTTCTTTCCTGCATTCTACAGATTTCTCTGTGCAATTTCATCATTGAGGTCCCTGTGGCACATCCTCTCTAGAGTGTCCCTAGATCCGGCCCCATGTGGCTTAGCTTTTTAGGAGTATCCTGTGTCTCATCTTTTTAGGAGTGGTCCGAGCCTCTAATTCCTCTGACACACTTTCTTAGAGTGTGCCAAGCCCCATGGCTCACTGTCTCTGGAGTGTTCCCAGCCTTCTGTCCCTCTGACTCACTCAGGAATGTCCCCAGCCTCCACTGTCTGTGGCTCACACTCTTTGGAGTGTTTTCAGACTCCATTCCCTGTGGCTTACTCTCTTAGGCATGTTCTGGGCCCTGTGGCACAGTCTCAGGTGTGCCCTTAGCATCTAGCCCTGTAGCTCACTCTCGCAAGAGTGTCCCCAACCTCTTCTCCCTTTGACTCGCTCTCTCAGGAATGAGCCCAGCCTCCAAACTCTGTAGCTCACACTCTTAGGAGTGTACTCAGCCTCTGGTCCCTGTGGCTCACTCTCTCAGGATTGTTACCTACCTCTGGTCCCTGTGGCTTCCACTATCGGGAGTGTCCCCAGGCTCGGCTGTTTAGTCTAGAGCCTTGGTTCTCAACTGGTGGGTCGTGACCCAAAAGTGGATCACGATCGCATGTTTAGTGGGTCGCCGCATGCCTTCCAGTTTTCTAGGTGAGAGGCTCCCCAGCCTCCCCCTAGCACAGCACTGTCCATTCTTACACTGAGCAGCCATTCAAAATATGCTGCCCGGCTCCGATTTGTTAACTTGAAGTGGGGTGAGCTGGGGGTATGGCCGCGAAGAAGCTCCATCCATACGTGCAATGCTTATAGCTCCCTCGCATTTCCTATAGAGGTACCTGGACCGGAGTGATGTCACATTCTGGCTGTACAAGCAATAGAAGTATGGGTGGAGCTCCGTCACAGCATGGCAGCCCACACTGCTGTGCGTTCCACTGCAGTGCGACTTGGGTCGCGACTTAATGATCGAGGACAAATGTGGGTCCTGAGGTTACACAGGTTGAGAACCACTGGTCTAGAGGGAACAGATGATAGGGGGAAAAGAGAGTAGCAGCTAACTGGCAAGCAAACGCCAAGGAGGAGAAGATAGTTTCATTGGGTCAAAGAGAAGCTAGAAATAGCTGCCAAGAGGAAAATCTGGCAATGTATCTGACGGACAGTCTGTACAAAGGTAGTCCTTGGACACACAGATGTTCCTCAGGCACTTAGATTATAATACTTTGGGAACTACTGTATTATTGAATGTGATACCATTATGTTGGATAATCCGCCAGTTTATATTTTTGGGGGACACTGTTGGAAGAGTATGTCCTTTTATGGTTCCTAACTCCAGCCTATCACTGAGCCCATTACAATAGTGCTACTGTAATGCTGCTGAATTCCAGAGTTCATTGTTGTACAGAATAGAAAAACCTTTAGAGGTAGTGCAGTACTCATTGGCTGTAAAATGACTGTGGTTTGGAGGTTGTGGAGGCAGTATAGACCTGTGCAGTTGTCTTGGCACTTGTTTTTCCCATAAGAAATTGATGATCAGAATGAGTCAGCCTACTGATAGCCATGCTTATACTAAAATAACAGATTTAGGTGACCTTCACTTTGAAAAGCTGCATTTTCATACTTACATGGTTATTTTCTGCACTCATTTCCAGACTGGGATTCAAGGAAAATGAACATGTCCTTTGTACTATACGTGTAGATGGTAATGGAGTCATCACACTGAAGCCTGATGTCAATGGAACAAAAGGCTCCTATAGGTATATACACTCATATTGTATTAGCTTGACACGTCCTGGTTACTGGGTAGCCAGTGTACATAATTAATTTTAATTGTTTCTGCTTATAGCCATTAACATCCTTTGTGTTCCTCTTAGGTTGGAAGTGGAGAGTCAGAAGCGTGAGCTATGGAGATATTCTCTTCATCATGTTTCAGAATCCATTCAGAGGGAGGAGCAAGAACGGGAAGAGGCACTATACAAAGATGTAAGGGGCAGCGGATGAAGAATGCTTGAGGATAGCAAGAAGAAATAGATTCAAATCCCACTACTTTTTCAGCAGCAAAAACAATATAATAAAGTGTATAAGTATGATTACAATAAGATCTATGTGGCATGTTTTGTCCTATTATTAGGGCTTGAGACTTAAAAGTAGTTTAAAGTATAATTCTATACTCAGTCAATAGTGCATTTCTGTGCCTAAGCTGCAAATATTGGGATAACATTTTTTTTATAGCTGAAATTATGTGTCTATGGCCTGAATATCCAAATCAGATCTTCTGTCAACTTTTGATTAGTTGACATGTATGAAATGTGGGAATGAAAGGGTGTTACGTAAATTTCTGCATCCCTAGCATCTGTTACATCGCCTTTTTTATTTGTATTTTACCACTGATCCAATGCTTGCTAAATGCACAGCATCATCTAGTGGAGAAAGGTAAAAAGCAGTTTTTTGTGCATTACTCAGACCTACCAATTTAATTATATGCAGAGGAGAAGGGGTAGCCATATAGGAATTGTGGATTTCTAAGTACATGCTATAGCTCAGTGACTGCTGTTACTCTGAAATGATATGTGCGTCCTGCAGTTTTATTTTAAATACGACCAATCCTTAGTTGTTTATATTGTTCTTCCTTATGACGGTTATTTAGGGACCTACACTAGTATAATTGTATAATAATTCCAGACATTTAACCAATATTCATATATTCTAACTTGCAGCATAATTTGAGTATTTTAGTGGGAACAACAGATTGCAGCAATGTTGTCTTATCAGGAAACTGATCTGAAAATACCCAGAAGGTATGCTGATAGTACCATCAGATTCCGGTATCTATCCAAACATCATTATTCGAAACAAATGAAAGATCTCCTATCTGTTGTTGACAGCTGATGATATTTACAGTATCTGGGAAGTCATAATTTACTTTAGTAGACTGATGGGTCTATTTCTAATGGAGAGTGGATACTGCAATCTGTCCTCTGCTGAACAGGGCCATATTTACAATGCACCTGCTTTCATAAAACTGCACTTTTGGAGGAAAGTTTGGTCACATGACAGCGACAGATCATGTAACTGGCTCTCTTATAGCTTGCTTTTTTTTCTCCATTATTTTTAGTAAAAAGGGCTTCACTTGTATTGGAGTTCTGAAGCAAGCCAAGTGCCAAGCACATTTATAAAGCACATTGTTGTGCTTTATAAATTTATCAATTCTTTTTAAATTTTATTTTTTTTACCACAGCTTTATCGCTTGCCCCCTTAATTATGCCCATAGCTCTCAATCCTGCTTTAATTCCCACTTAGTGCTGGTTTAATCATATGTACAGGTGAAACTCGAATAATTAGAATATCGTGCAAAAGTAATTGCAGTAAGTGCTGCAAAAGGGGCCCAAACCAAGTACCGAGTACATATGCATGCTTGTACTTTTCAGAGGTCTGATATTTTTCTATGTACAATCCTTGTTTTATTGATTGCATGTAATAATCTACTTTTTTGAGGTTGTGGATTTGGGGTTCTTGGGGTTTTCATGAGCTGTAAGCCATAATCATCACAATTATGACAAATCACGGCTTGAATAATCTTGCTTTGCATGTAATGAGTCTATCTCATATATTAGTTTCACCTTTTAAGTTGCATTAGTGAAATGAACTTTGCACGATATTCTAATTATTCGAGTTTCACCTGTATGTGTTACACTAGGCCCCATTCAGACTGCCATGTGTTAATAATCTAGCACATTCAAATTCATAGCAAATTATTCTTCTGAAGTTCCATTCTGCCCTCAATTAGTAACTTCACTGTAAGCTGTTGCTTTATTACATACTCTGATGGTTTCTAGTAAAAGAAGAACTTTGGGCAATTTAAAAAATGCCCATTTATTTTACATACATTAAATAATTGTACAGCTGCCAAAATTACTTGTACTCTGTACACTTGCAATCTTTGTTTGCCCTGCATTCTAGTCTTCCTCTCCATACCTTGGGAAATTCCAGTTCAGGCCGACAGGAAGAGCGCCTGCACTGGCTACTGAAAGGGGAAAAAAGTGGCAGAGGATGGGTGGTTGACACAAACAATAGTTGCAGTGTTTCTTATCTACATCTCTAGACATGTCCCACTACATGAACAGGGATTAGAAATTACACAGGATTAAGATGCGTCAAGTATCAGAGATTAAAATTCCAGAGAATGAGAGTCTCTTAATTTCACACATATTCTCTTTCAAAATGGAAATCTATGATTTTACTATCCTTATGCTTCTTTTTCAGCTCTATGGAAGGCATAAAGAATATCTGAACAGTCTTGTGGGCTCAGATTTTGAAATGGTGAGATAATCTGTAATTTTTTTTTCTAGCTCAGCATTTCCATGTAGTTTAACCTGACTACATTAACATCACAGCAGATGCTGTACCTCACACATGCAAGTCACAACATTTACTGTAAAAATTGAGTTTGATCCCACTTCTTACGCCTCTATATTGGATGATGAGGCCTCCCATCACAAGGACCATTAAGGAGTCTTGAAGGTGGGATCAAACCTGGTTTTTAACGGAAAAGTCAAGATTTGCACTTCAGCACCCTATATCTCTGGCTGATGGTTTTTACTCATACCTTTTTTTTTTTTTTCCATAAGATGCTCAGTATGAACTGCCTATTTTGTGACATGTCTATTGTAATTCTGATGCTTCGGTTGCTTCAGGTATTTCCTCTGCATTGCTTACCTTCCAAGATTTAAAAGCAATTCAAAATCCATCTGATGACCATTTTGTGTGCTATCCTCACCCACTAAAAATCCCCTTGCCAGTACTCCCCCGCTGCTTTTTCTTCAGTCATAGCTACTACCAATGTAGTTTTGATAGTGCTCAAGTTTGGAAGCCAATTGCTAGGCCCAAGCGGATGTCACTTGCCAGAGAGAGCTATATTTATTTATTATTTATTACAGGTATTTATATAGCGCTGACAATATACGCAGCACTTTACATACTGCACATTGCCATCAGCCCCTGCCCTCAGGAAGCTTACAATCTAAGGTCCCTGTCGCACACACATACAGGGCCAATTTTAGACAGCAGCCATTTAACCTTTCAGCATGTCTTTTGGGGTGTGGCAAGAAACTGGGGAGAACATGCAAACGTCTTGCAGATATGTCCTGACCAGGATTCGAACTGGAAAACCACTAAGCCACTGTGCTGCGCTGTGATATCTCCATAGCTTATGACAGCAGCCCACATTTTAGTTCTGGCTGTGATGGAGGAAGTAATGGCAGGAGATCACTAGCAAGGTGAGTTGGGGGGCTGCCCTTTGCAAAGAAAATCTCACTTTGCCTGAGTGGGCAAGGTGACAGTATCACCTTAAGCTTTGGTTGTTAAAAACATTTTGCTCTTAGTACATTATTTCAATAGTTAGATTGCATTTACGCAAGTAATTCTAAATATCTTGGCTTTGCAATCCTAATGTTACTTGTTTTTTTTTTATTTTCTAGCCACCAGCTGGAACGCTGAGAGTTCTCATCAATGGGGAGATTAGTAAGTGAATTACATTTTGTGTGTGTCTGTATGTATAACTTACTGTACCTGATTTTTGCTGTGTACTGTATCATGTATTTAGTTGCCAAACTTCCTATATGCCTAACCCTCCAAGGTGACTTTTCCTTGCCTTCCTTAAAGCCATTGTCCCAAAAATATTGTGTTTTAGTAATTGTTAGGGGCTATTACATAAAATTTTAATATTCAGTGCATGAAATAAAAGGAAACCATTGTAAGCACGTCTCTAGTAGTCTAGTTTGTCTCTACCCCTGTCCCCGTCAGGTTTGCTGGATAGCCTGCTTTGCATATACATGTTGAGAAATAGCTAAATTATTAGCACATGGAATAAAATAAGGCTCTCCTTTACTAAATACTAGGGATGCACCGATACCAATACAAGCATCGGTATCGGCGGCGATACCGAGTATTTGCATGAGTACTCGTGCAAATACTCCAAAACATAAAACGAGTAGCTGTGCCGCCTCTCAATTCTGCATACCTGGCTTTATATTATAAAGTTCTTATAATATAAAGCCAGGTATGCAGAATTGGATACAGCTGTGCCACACTACAGAGTGTTCATGTTCTTCATAATATTAAGAAACTGACCTAAAATCATGGTTTTGTATTGCTTTAGAAACAATGTGACCTGTCCCTTTAAGAAAAAGTATCGGTAATTGGTATCGGCGAGTACTTGGAATAAAGTATCGGTACTCGGCCTTAAAAAAGTGGTATCGGTGCATCCCTACTAAATACTATTACTAGATGTGTTTACCGATATGCAAATGGCAACATTTTTTTAAAGCTGAATTCCAGGCAAACAACTAAACACACAAATGAAATGCATATACGAGAGCTGTTTTACCAGTCCCGAGATTTTCACAGATTTCAGATTTAAGTTTTTGATAGTTTAGGGAAGGTTTGGACCCTTTGTCAAATTTTCATTGCTGTCTATGTCCCCACTAGGGAGATCTGCCCCTCTAGTTTTTCCTGGAGATCATGGTCACGTAGACAGAAACGGAGGGAAGATCAATATTTTGAGTTGCCATCAAAGCAAGCTGTGAGGGGAAATCCTACACTTTAATTGCGTAGAGTTAGTCGAACACATGATATGATTTTTGGGTTTTAACCTCTTAAACTACTGGATCCCCTTTTCACTGTTGTCTGCAGTGCTTGGCGGTCTTAAGCGCAATGATAAAAATAACAGCACAATATTTTCTACTAAAGTGTATGGCACAGTTGAACTCTAGTACCAGATTTTACCAGCTCTTCTCTCTTCCTATCGGGCTTTCTAGCACAAATGTGAAACAGACCTAAAGTCATCTCATCCTATTCTCTTAGCATGTTGTATATCTGAAACTGTTCCCACAGGCTACAGTTTGGACATGCTGTCAATTAAAATACTGCTGTTTCTATAAACATGTTAGCTATTGTTTTCTTTTTTTTATTTAGTGTCTGCTCAGGAGTATGAATGTGACAATCTTTATGTGCATTTCTTCTTGGAACTGCCAAAACGTAAGTATCTTGTTTAAAGCAGAGGTTTGCGTGAGTACTTTAAAATATGTGTCACCGGGAGTCTGTTTAAACAGCCCCGATGCTGGCGACGTACACCGTACGTCGTCAGTCACAAAGGGGTTAAGGTGGACCCATGCTCAAAAGGGAAGATTTTGTTGTCTAAGGATGACCATGCACTACTAGAATTTTGGCCCATTCACTGGAATTGGGTGAAATTCTTACAGTGGGTGGTCCTGCTGGCTCCACAAGTCAATTGATGAAATAACTTTTGTCGAAAAAGCTGGGCCGCAAAGCTGATTAGCTTTTTTTTTTTTTTTTTTTTTTTTTTATTCTTTAAGTTTTACATATTTAATAACAAAAGAACAGAGACACAGGAAAAGTGAAGGTTTACAAGTTGGTCAGACAATGCAAAACATTACAAAACATCATGAAAGAATCAGACTTCACAATAAAGGGCATGACCTTCAGGCGATATGGTTACTGAGACCTTATGAAAATGAGTTTAAAAACAATGGTCATCTGTAAGCATAACTTGATACCACATAGGTCTACCCATAAGACCCAGGCCATTGAAATATTTTTCATGTATTCTGACAGTGACAGGCACCGGCTGTCAGTATACAATAACCACAGCAGGAGATATGTTCATCTATGTTGTTTAGATCAAAATCGAATAGTATACCTGTATGGCCAGCTTTACAGGGAATATTTGGTTAGGAAAAATCTCTATTCCTCTACGAAGATGCCTGTCACAAGGGAATGTAAGGTAGAAAAGGCATGCCAATTCGCTCCTGCGGTAAAAGATCAGCTGCAGGGACCCTACATGCAATACTGTTGCCTAGTCCTTGGCCCTCCCCATGAATCTTTTTTGGAACAGCTTCCACAGCATAGATCTCCTATAAACAATGTTTACTGCTTACATTTCTTTTATTGGTGAGATCATGAGAAGATGGTTTCATAGCATCCAGAATTAATCATGACTTTTAAACTGAATTATAATTTTTACACTTTCCACCGGATCCAAAAGAAATATAGCAAGTTCTAGGTGTTTATATCTTGTGTCTGGAGGTATACACAATAATTTACTGAAGTGGCATTCACCTTTAATCTAAAGTGTCTGTTTTTATATCTTGGCTTTGCAGATTGGTCCAGTCCTGCTTTCCAGGATCTCTCTGGAGTGACCCAAAGCTCTACTTCTAAAACTTTAGGATGGGTAAATTTTCTTCTGTCACTTTTGTACATTTATTTTTTTGTTGTCACTTAAAGCAGACTTGTATTGAATAATTTTTTAAAGGGCAACTATTGCGAAATGGCTGGTGCCCCTGGCACCTCATTTTTCTACCTTTCCTTTCCACATTCTTTAGTTATCTCTTGCATAGAACAGTAAAGCACATGCTGTTATGCTACAGTGAGGACTACTTTACTGAGAAGGTTAAGATACTCAGTCACCAACATAAACATGCAGGTAGCAGCACAGAAAAAATACCGTATTTTTCCGTCTATAAGACGCCCCCATGTATAAGACGCCCCCAACTTTTCTTACCCAAAATTCAGAAATCAATATTTTAAATGATATTATGCATCACACTTACCTCTGAGCCAATCACTTTATTCAGCCTCTGTTGCATCACTGGTTTCTTCATCACTTTTAGCTTCAAACATATCAGTTTCTTCAACTTCTGCTGCATCACTGCTGTCTGCTGAGTCACTGTCTATATATACAAGATCATCCTCAGTTCCGTCCATGGCATTGCTGATTCCACATTTCTTGAAGGACTTTACAATCACCTCTTGTTTGACACCATACCATGAGTTTAGAGAGTTTACAGGTTGTTTTTCACTTTCTGACATTTTTATGGTCACAGAATACTCCGACATTACCGCTCTGGGCACTGCCTACACGATCTCCCCAGCAACAGCTCGCGTCAGGTTAAAAAGATTTATGACTGGAGGAGAACTGTTATCTTGTCTCTGCAATCCGTGAGGCTAGTTTGCAGTTGTATCAGCACTTTCAAAACCGCGGCCCCCGTGTATAAGACACACGTCTATTTTTAGATAAAGATTTTTATGAAAAAGCAGCGTCTTATACACGGAAAAATACGGTAAGTCTTTTTTTAAAGTGTAACTTCACTTAAAAAAGAAGAATTGTGGGGAGAGGGAAATACACTCATACCCATAATTAGAGCCGACGTGTGATACTGAAGATGTTACACGTCGGCTCTAATGCTGGAGAGCTGAGTGATCACATACCGCCGATCGCTCAGTTCCTGATCATCTCCCTTCAGAGAGTGGTGACTGTCAGTCACCTCTCCCCGCAGGGATTCCACTCTCTATTCCTACAGCGCTGACTGGAGGGATGGATGGGGGAGAGGGTGGCCACATCTGGCTTTGTTTCTAGTGAGGCAGAGCCAGCTGTCAATCAGGTAGCAAGGTGGATTCCGACAATATTGTCAGGATCCATCCCAGCAGCAGCGTAGCTCTGCGCTGTCAGCATATAGCGGGCAATGCTGAGTATTGGGTCACAGGCTGACGTTAGTATACAGAATGTTTTCCTGTGACCCTAAAGAAACTTATGGCAAAAAAAGGTTGGGCCATATTCTCTTTTAAGCCTTCCATACACATACCGATTCCTCCGTGCATGCTAAACAGTGTGGATGGACAAATCTTCCCTGCCGGGCTATTGTATTCTGACAGCCAGCTCCTGCCGCTTATTAGCTGCAGTCACTGTTTAGCCAAAAACTTTGTCAAAAAAAACTTTT